TTCAATCAGTTTGTCGCTCTCCTCAATATTAATGAGGATAATCTCAGATTCACCTCAGAATTTGGGGGTTTGTCCCTAAATGTTCTTGACCTGTCTATCTCAATTTTTAAGAGATGGTTCCATCAAAACAACACTTTTTAGGAAACCATCCGCATCGAACTCTCTCCTCAAGTGGGACAGTCACCATCCGAGGTCCCTCAAACAGTGCATCCCAACGGCCAATATCTTAGGCTTCGACGGAATTACTCTGATTTGGGGGACGTCCAAATTAAGGCCAAGTCCCTGCGCCAACAATTTAAAGACAAAGGCTACCCAAACAAATGCCTTAAAAGAGCCTACAAAAGGGCTCTGTTGACGGACAGGGTTGACCTTTTGTCTGATTCACCTAATGCCAATCCTGGTAATAAAACCATCAGGATGATTGGCACATTTGACACTGGGTGGAATGCAATAAAAGAGTCATTCCAGAAATTTTGGCCTATCCTCCTTAGAGACTCACACTTGAAAGAAGTATTGGGTCCACGGGTCACCATTACAGCTAGGAGGGGAAAAAACCTCCGTGACATGCTGTCCCCCAGTCATTTTTCCTGCAAACAGAACCTGCAGACTACTTGGCTGGGACGTCAAATACCAGTGGGCACCTTCCAATGTGGAAGGTGTGTAGCGTGTAAATTCATTCTAAGGGATTCCAAACAAGTCAAGGATAGTGAAGGAAAACAATCTTTTCAGATTGCACATTTCTTTAATTGCAACTCAGCAGGGTTGGTCTACCTCCTCACGTGTAGTTGTAAATTGATGTACGTGGGGAAGACATGCAGGCCCTTTAAAGAGCGCATTAAAGAACATGTGAGATGCACTAAAAATCGCGTAGAGACTCCCATCTCTAGACATCTTAAAGAACATCATGAGGGTTCATCTAAAAATATACGTTTCTGCGGTCTTGAGCTGGTTAAGCACGAACCTAGAAGGGGTGACTTTGATAAAATTCTGTGTCAGAGGGAATGCAGATGGATATACAAACTTAACACTCTACACCCTCATGGCCTTAATGAAGGCTTCTCCTTCTCCCCTTTCATTTGATTTTATACATGGGTACACTCTGCATAAGAAAATGGGTATATCTGATTTTCTCCGAGTGTTCCTTGCTTCTGTACAATAGAGAGCAGCCTGGGATATCTCATTTTGAACCTTGTATGTAGCTGCTTTCTGGGTTCTCAATATCTCTTCAGGTCATGTTGTGCTTTTTACCATTAATGTGATGTCTTTTTGTACTTATATACTTTATTGAGGGTATTTTCTATACACAGTATTTTGTTTCTTTTTCTTTTCCTCTTTTTCTACCTTGGTTATTATTATTATTGTTTTCTTTTTTCCTTTTTGGTGTTGTGTTGGTTCATTAATTTACACTTTGCCTGCTACTCAATAAACATTCAGTATTTATCTTCCCATTCAGCTTTTCACTAACGATGCCTTCATTGAATTCTACCAACTCCACAACTAACAAGCACTTCAAGTCTAGTTTATTCATACCCTCAGTGAATTTGATGAATCTGATCACATTGTTTAAATGTTACATTTTAAGGCTATTATTAGGCACATCTAATACCAGTTTACAATGCCCATCTTTCCTATTGATTACTGAGATGTTCATTCTAGATCTGATTTGAACTGTGGGGAGTCCATGGGAAGACACTGTACATACCTTTATTTACATTCCATTTATTACTACTTCAATTCCTAGTGCGGTTTCGATAGAGTCTATGTGTCTCTATCACCCACGGACTCCCACCACGCCCTCTCTGCGCTTTCCAATCGAGTATTGGTAGCAGTAGGCATGACGTTATCCTGGAGGTTGGCTCACTGATGTGGCTAAGCGAATGACACGCCCACCACCCACGTGGGCCGACGTCCTCCTGTGCTCCCTCCCCTCTCCCCCCCTCCTTCTCTAGTTTGATTGGATATCGGAGTAATACGTTCAGGGAGGTTGGCCCGAAGGACAGTGATTGGCTGATGGGACTTTAGAGGCGGGTCGATTAACGCGGCCAGGTAGGCAGACACTCTGTAGCTCTTGACAAAGGCGTTCTTACACGCCGAAACGCGCGTCGAGCATTTCAGAATGCCGATGCATTCATTTTACCTTATTTAATTTTTTTGTTTTTCTTTTGATTTATTTATTTATTTATTTTTTGCTTTGATGTTCTTTTGAGGGTTTATTTGGGAAGTGAGGGGGTTAAGCGATAGGGATAGCCTTTAGGCTGCCGTTGAAGCAGCAGGCATTGTACCTAGTTACCCTATTTTCAGGGGAGTCAGTTAGTTTGTGCAGGGTTATTCAGGTTACGGGCAGGGCATTGTTTGATGGCCTTTCTTGTTTTTGGTAATAAGCTACATGTATCTGTATGCTTCTCTATACTCAGGCGGGCACTTCTCCTATATTAACCCTCCGCATAGCTTTACCTACTAACCTGCACTAGCAACTACTGTGCTCCCTTTAGGGGTACCTTTACTACCAAGGCTTACTTTATATTTATATTTCTATCTGTAATACCCCCCTGCCTATTTACCAGATTTCTGGCAAGCTTTATTGCCTTAGACCAGATTTCTGGCAGTTTCATTTTCTAAGTCTAACACTATACTTGCAATCAGTCTATACCTCTTTAGTGACCTGTCTTTTGGTCCCCAGTACTTCACAATTGTGTTGGCTTAGATCCAATATCTGTGAGGTTATACCTCACTTCCCTATATGAATTTTTACAAGGGATATTTCTCTTCTGGCCATACATAGAGCCAGTTTGATTTTTTTATCATTATTATATTTTGTGTGTATCCCTTGTTCTATTAAAGGTATAATACCCACGTTTTCCCTCCCTTTCTTCCCCCTTCCTTTTCTGTGTTTGATCTTTCCCCTCCTTATGACAAGTACACTTACTTTAGGGGTAAAGACCATCGAATGAGCAGGTTTCTACCTTCATATTCATATGTATGGTGGATTTCTAGCTTATTTCTTTTTTTTTGTATCTGTATATATGCATGTGACTGTCTGTCTGTATGTATGTGTTTATTTGTATGTATCTGTTTGTATGTGTGTGTGTTTCTGTATCGGCATCTGTCTCTATGTGACCCTGTGTATCAGTATGTGTTTCTGTGTGTCTTAGTATATATGTGTATCTGTGTGTTTCTGAGTCTGTTTGTATATGTGTATGTGTATGTTTGTATGTGTGTCTGCATGTCTTTGTATCTGCATGTGTGTCAGTGTGTATCTGTATGTGTGTGGCAAAACCAGCCACTTAGGACTGTATTTCCATTCATGTGATATTGTAGATTTAAGGCTATCTGAACTGCGCATGTTCCCTTTTCTGTATTTGATGCAAACGAGAGCATTCGTATGCTGGCGGCACGAAAGCCACCAGCATTCCTACAGTAGTTTCACGAACAGTGAATTTCAATACTGTTCGTGAAACGAACAAACTACCGAATGGGAGACCACACACAAGAGGTCATGTGGCTCCCATTACGGATCGCAACATTGTATCTTTCAGTAGTTAATAGATGTTCAGTGTGGCCGCCGTTCGGATACCGACCACGCGGTGGTCGGCCATCTTGGATCCTTTGTTAGCCCAGCTGTATTTTGTCGTTGAGTGCCTGGAACTAAAATCGGCTACTCGACAGGACTCGCTGGACTTCCAGGCCGTTCGGGAGCACCGGTCTTTTGGTATTTTATCTCTGCATGTGTATTTGTGACTTTGGTGAAAAATGTGTGTTCAAGTGTACTTCGTGCGGCGTTTGGCTAATTGTGCTGGGATCTGAGCGGTACTTTCACAAAGTATATGCTCAGACCCCGGCTATCTGCCGAACGGTCATTCGGTATTAGAGCACAAATAATGTTAAAGTTATATATTTTTATGTAAAAAGCCAGGTCTCCTGCATGGAGGGATAATCCACTTAACAGGATATTCTAGTGGGAGTATCCCTCTCGTACAGCAGTGCATGGTGGGAGAAATGTCCTGGTTGTTAAGTTCCCCATGTAGTCCCCTACTGTACAACCCCTGTAAAGTCAGTAAGGAAACTCCTTGCATGGGGAACCACATAAATACTGTGATCTGTGATTAAAACCTCAGTTGACTCCCAGCCTATGTGTCATCTAGTTCTTGGGAAGGAAGGATTTATATAATGCTACCGGGATTATTGTATGCTGTACTTGTTTTACCTGGATTATTATATGCTGTTCCTGTCTACCAGCGGAGATATTGTGGATCATACTACCTCTCCGCTACAATGTGTGTCTGTGTTTGTATCTGTATCTGTGTGAGTGTCTTTCTGTGTATTTGAATGTGTATCATTCTGTGTGTATGTGTAGCTGCATGTGTGTCTGTGTATCTGTATCTGTGTGTATGTGTGTATCTGCATATGGGTCCGTGTATGTATATGTATGCTACTATGTGTATCTGCATGTATTTCAGTGTGTTTGTTTGTGTGCTAGTGTTTCTGTTTATCTGCATGTTTGTCAGTGAGTGTATCTGTGCATCAGTGTATGTAGGAGTGTCAGTGTGTATCTGCGTATCTGCATGTGTGTCTGTGTATGCACTTGTGTGTCTGTGTATCTCTCTATGAATGTCTGTACCTGTGTATGTGTGCATCTCTATGTATGTCAGTTTTTGCATCTGTATGTGTGTTAGTGTGTGTATTTTGTCTCATAAGAAATGAGAGAGCTAAGTGTGTGTTTTTTATTAATTTTTGTGTGGGCGTTGATGGCCTGATTGCATGCTAGGAAGGGGAAATGCTAGGTCAAGGGGCCCCAATCAAATACCTACCCAGGGTCCAATCAGTATTAAAGCTCGCCCTGCCTCTCAGGAGATAAGCGAGTGGGTTGGAGGTTTCTTTCCAGTGGTTGAATGTGTGGGTAGTATCCTTGATTTACATTTAGTTACCATGGTTACAGATCCTTGGGTCAGAACCGAGCCGGGGAGAGAAAAAGGAGAAGAATCAATAAGCCCAGCGGTGGAGGTTCTCCACGAGTGGTGAAGATCTGTACAGTCAGCGATCAGAGCAGCAAGGATGTAAACCTGTAATCAAGTTTATGGTGGTATCTGAGGAGGTTACTGTATCATGTGAGGTGGCTTCTATAAGTTTATGTGCGGAACCGTTGTAAGGAATGGCTTTGGTCAGGTACAAACTAATAGTATTGTGGTCGAAGTCCTGTGGGATAGTTGTGGATAGGCGGACTGCTCCCCACTCAATGTGGTGGACGAAATTTTTTTTATTTTAAATTACAATTGTGGCCAAAATTGTGAAAACCTTTTGGGAAATTGTATTTAAAGTGTTTGCTGTTTCATATTTTTTAGAAAAATTCCTTAAATTACATATGGCTAGAAGGGTAATTTAATGCAGAATATAATGCAACAAAGTGCATTGAATTGTCTTAATTCTTTGAAAATGATAGCCAAATAACCACAGAAGACAAACAAACCTGCAACTGCCTTACGTAAAATGAAGTGGATTTCCTTCATTTAAAACCGACCGAGAGCCAACCAGGTGACATTATGACAAAGCAAGGAGCCAGTAAGGTGTTGGTATAAGTCAGCTCCCAATTCCATGTATGAAAACAAATAAAAATACTCCTATTCAGGTTCGTGAGTGTTATCAAGTTGCCACTGTTTTTTTTGTTGTTTACTTAATTGCGGGTCACAGATTTTTCTATTCTTTGATAACTTACTAAGGTGAAGATTTGTCAAACAGAGTGAAAGTAGTGTATTGATCATCTAGAAAGTGATGTAAAATAATAACTTTGCATGAAGAAGGCTACATTTACTAGGTGATTTATTGCATGTATTGCATTTACATTTATAAGAAATATAGGTGTAAATCTAAGTAAAGCAGGTATTTATAAACTGTGTAAAAGGTGCCTGTTGACTCGGTCACTTCTAAACCAAACTGGTAAAAGCAGGGAAAGGTATACATCAGTGTTTAAATTGTGTTTAAGTGACAAAAATAATAATCTAATTCAATGAAAAATGAATTGGCTCAATGTGGCTTAAATATGTAGACTCAAAGATTTTATATTAAATTCTACAATTCAAATGAAAAGCCATTTATATCTCCCAAACAAAGAAGGGAGAGACATAATGGGTTAAGCATTGCGTTAATTGGTCTTAGAAACAATTGGTTACATCTTTTGTGATGAGAGAAGAATATCTTTATTTGATAGTGATGGCATACTTAAGAATAATTTGCTGCCTGAATACATAACAGCTACCATAGCACATCCAGTTTGTGTTATGATCTGCGGTTTTATGAAATAAAATGTGTGGGCAGATTTTGTGCAATTAGTGGTATTATAAATGGCAAAAAGTAAATCGGTGATATACTTGAGCCAAACTGTAAGTTTTCAGCATGTGACCTTTTCCAGATTAAGTTTAACAGTATTCAATTAAACAAAAAAATTTAAACCAAAAAAATTAATCACTATATCGTATAATGAAAGTGAGAAGGAACTTATAATGATGAACCCCACAACCCAAAATAGCAAAACAAATGAAGATATATGCACAAAGTATATCAGAAGCTCCAAGGTATAAACACACAGGTAAAAATTAGAAAAGATTAAATGCCACCTGATATACAGGATAAGAATATAAATCAAAACCTGATGTGCAAAACTAAATAAAGACAAAAACAAAAACTGCATATGGTGTAATAAAGTAAAAACTATAAGAAAACGTGATCGTCACATCCATCATTACCTTCTGTCGTTACATTCCGTCTTGGTCCATCTTCCATGCGAGATCTGACTCACAATGCATATGATTTATCTGCTCTATGAAAATTATAATTGTAGCGGAAACTACCACCAATTTCAGATACTTTGCCCCTGTTCATGTGTTTTTCCCTTTTTCCGTTCGAGAGTTATTATATATGAACATCATCTATTCATCTCCTGAACGACGACCACTGACCACCGCCCACTACAATCAAGTGCTCCCTCCTACACTCCCACTCACACTGAGGAGGCCTGGGGTTTTCTATATAAGGCTTACCTTATACAAGCCACAGAGGTGGAGAAGACCGGAGGAACGGTGGCAGTCTGTGTAGCAGGGGAGCAGTATACCGCTTGCCCATTGGTAAAGTTCACCTTGACTGGGGCACTGTGAATGGAATATCGGAGAGGGTAGGTTCAGGGACTTGCACAACCACTACCAAACAGTTAGTGGTACCCAGAAAGTATAGACGCAAGCTATTAAAAATATCTCATGATATTCCCCTAGCAGGACATTTGGAAGTGAGCTGTATGAAACATCGGCTCACCCAAAGTTTTTTCTGGCCAGGTATCTCTAAAGACCTACGATCGTACTGTCAGTCTTGCCATGTCTGGTGATAGGCGCAAGCCCAAACTCCATCCTCTCCTAGTAATTGAAGACCCGTTTGGCAAGGTAGCTGTTGACATCATAAGTCCTTAAGCTAAGTCTAGTCCCTTTGGGAAGAAATGAATTCTGACCATTGTGGACTACGCTACCAGGTACCCAAAGGAAGTGGCTCTGAGTAATGTTCAAGCAGAGACTGTAGTGGAGACGCTGATGCGAGTCTTCACCCACACGGGGGGGAGATCGTCTTGGATCAGGGCACCCAGTTTACTGCCAAAATGACTAACCAACTGTGGAGGTTATGCAGCATTAAACCTATCCTGAGTTACCCTTATCTTCCGCAGACTTATGGCCTATGCGAGCACTTCAACGGCACGTTAAAGCAGATGCTCTGACTGGGAAAGATTCCTTCCGCATCTACTGTTCGCATATGTGCTGGAGCTTCGGGACCAACTGCGTGAGAACCTCCAGGTGTCTCAGGAGCATCAACGCACCTGGTATGATCGGGAAGCCAGGGGCTGTAGCTTTCAAGTCGGTCAGAAGGATTTGGTTCTGAAACCCGTCCGACTTGGCAGGCCACATGCTGCTTGGCAAGGTAGTGGAGCATAAATGTGACACTACCTATGTTATTGTTCCATGCTCTGGGGAAGGAGTCTAATGCATGTTACTTGTTAACATGCTGAAGCCTTACCACAAGCACACAGAGGATGCAGCCGCTATCTGTGCTCCAGCCTTGGAAGATTTCAGTAATCTTCCCCTGCCTGATCTCCTAGAGGATGGCGGTCCTGCAGGGTCCATATCTGAGGTCCAATTGGGGGACTGATTGACCGAGGAAGAATGCAGGCAAGCCCAGCAGATGCTGTCTGCAAAGAGGGGCACATTCTTAAACTTGCCAGGGTTTACCCCATTAACCACCCATAGGGTAGAAACTCATGACCACCAACCTCTGCGGCAAACCCCGTATAAAATACCAGGGGCGGTGTGGGAGAATGAGGCAGGAGATCCATGAGATGCTCCAACCAGGGGTAATCGAACTGTCTAAAAGTCCTTGGGCTTCCCCAGTAGTGCTGGTTCCAAAGCGCGACTGAACCACCCGGTTGTGCGTGGACTACAGGAGGCTCAATGACAAGACGTGTGACAAGATGTGTACATGACAATTACAAGATGTGTACATCGTGCCTCGTATAGACAAGCTCTTAGACAGCTCATGGTCAGTACCTCACGACCATAGATTTGTGTAAGGGGTACTAGCATATTCCTTTAGTGGCAGATGCTATCCCCAAGTCGGCATTTGTCACTCCCTTTGCCCTACACCAATTTAAGGTAATGCAATGATGGCAGAGAACATCGAGTAGCTTACCTCAGCAGAAAACTACTACCCATGGAGTTGAGCTTCGCTGCCATCGAAAAGGAGTGTCTGGCGGTGGTGTGGGCCATACATTTATGGACAACAGTTTACCTTCCTTACAGATCAAAACTCGTTGGTATGGCTTAACTGGGTCGCTGGAGACAATGCCCTATCGGAGCCTGGCATTACAGCCCTATGACTTCACCATTCATTATAGACCTGGTAAGCAGAATGGGAATGCCGAAGGGTTATCACGACAGACAGAACTGGAGAAATGATCTGTGAGTACTCCCCTGGACATTCCCAAGCTGATCCGCGAGGATCAGACTGTGTATGCCGGCTTGTTGTTAAGGGGGAGCTGTGTGGCGGAACCTTTTTCATATACTTTTCCCCTGTTTGTGTGTTTTTCCCTTTTTCCGTTCATGAGTTAGTATATAGGAACGCCATCTATTCATCTCCCAAATGAGGACCACCCCTGTACCCCATTAGAACGTTCACACCAGCAACTTAAGTGCGAAACCACAAGGGAAGTAATTAATTAATGCTGTCCCTGGATGGCCGCCATTTCGTATAATCTAATGCATGTGGTCGACTAAAGAATGGCGGCCTTCTTTTCTCCTGAACGTGGGCACCGGTGTCACGGTGGCGGTCCTACTGTCCGGGACCCAGACACTGTCCGGGCGGCGGTGCGTGGACCGGGACTCCTGAGTGCCTGATGTTCAGAGTAGGAGTCACAGTGTGGAGGTGGATTAGCAGGGTCTGGTGCAGGGTAACCGCACGCCCCCAGGTGTTGAGCATCAGCGTCTGTGCAGCCACATACCAAAACCCTGATTCAGCTTATGTGGATCCCAGAAACTAGGAGCAGGTAATTAAGCAGACCTCCCAGGAGCTGAATAGGTAGGCTCTGCAGCAGGAGATGTATCCAGTACTGAAGCAAGGCAAAACTAGGAGAGCAAGGCACCATGCATGAAAACAAGACAAAACTAGGAGAACAGGGCAAGACTAGAAATAGGCACCATGCATAAAAACAAGACAAAACTAGGAGAACAGGGCAAGACTAGAAATAGGCACCATGCATGAAAACAAGACAAAACTAGGAGAACAGGGCAAGACTAGAAATAGGCACCATGCATGAAAACAAGATAAAACTAGGAGAACAGGGCAAGACTAGAAATAGGCTGGCCTTCTAATTCTTTGGGCAGACATATCCTCTTTTTGGGCATGTTCGCCCCTTTTGGCAGGTTACGTGATTTGTGTCAGTGGCACACCCTTTTACCGTGCCCATTGACTTCCTGCTTGACTGGACACTGCTGTTAGGGGTTATGGATTTACTTGAAAGATGAAAACATAAATTAGTGAGAGATTAGCCTAGGGTATGTGTTTTCTTATAGCTGCTGTTTTTTTTCTCTCCAGCACAATCTCCATCAGATACATGATGCTTGGGAGTGTTTTACTGTTTTTGGTCGATATGATTCTGTAATTAGGCCTGTCATAATTGTCAGCACC